ATTCCCCATTTAGTTACTTTCTGTTTTGTTTTCTTAGTCATTAGTTAAACTTGTTTTGTTTTTGTTCTAATTAGTTTCAGTTGCATCTTGTTTACCCTGGTGTTTCTACTATACCTACTCGTGTGGGTTTACATAACCCCTCCTTTGTCTCTGTTAGCCTGCCTTTGTGTGTTCCTGTGTCATTCACGCCATGATAGTTTTTATTTATTTATTTATTTTCACCTTAATTGCATAACTTTTTTCAGAATAATTTTATGTGATGATTAGACTATAGAGAAAAAGCATACAGGACAAATTAAAGGAAAAACAAGGAAAAGTGTGTTAGTGAGGTGCTGGGCCACCGCATGCCCACTGATTGACTGATTGAAGTCTCGTGAACTCTACTGGACAATCACCATTCTTCCAAAAGATAGTATATAAAGACCAGTATAATCAACACCATCCTATAAGAGTTGATTACAGGGTGAAGCCGATCACTCATAAAAACTTAATGCTTATTTGCAGTGAGCTGTTTCATCTAAGGTGGAGTGTCTCAAAGTTTGGATGAAAACTTAGGGATAAAACCTGGACAGAGAGTGGTTTATATTAGTAACTGTAACCCAATGTTAATGATGTTTTTCTTTCTCTCTCTTTTTTTTTTTGTTATCATAATTTTTTCACTGCTTAAATTGGCTGTTACATTTCTTATGGCTTTCTTTCTTTCTTTCTTTCTTTTCAGATGTGTTTATAAATGCTACAGGAAGGTTATGTCTCTTCTTAGAATAAAAGTATTGAAACAGCAGAAAAATGCTCCTTTGGCCATATCAGCCATGCTACGCACACTGAAGCTACAGAGAAAGGAGGAGCTTCTTTCCTTGTGGCTTTTGCGGGCCAATCACTTTAATCTTTGCACTAAATGCACATGACAACCTAAACCATGCCTAAAAACGAACCCTCCAAAAATTTAAAAGTCATATTACACATGTAATATGTCAGACATCTGTATCTCGTAAAAAAGTCAGTTGTTGTACGTACAGTTAAGTCCATATCTGGCTGTTTATAAAGGTAGTAGCTAGGTTACAGCATATTGTAATTGGAGTTACACATAAATAATAAATAATCATAATAAATGATTATTATTAAAATAAATAATAATCAGTCAGTCCCCCGCAATCACACCTGCTACACGCGCAGTGCGCTTGTATGTAATAATTACGGTAATAGCACAACGTCACCTGTGGCTGCAAGTGAGTTTGGTGTGTCGTTTAAGTACTTCCTGTAATGGTGGAAACTACATTTTTAAACACGCACAGACGCATTTATCGGCTTGTTGTTTTTTGCATGAATTTTCTTGGAGGATTCAGTCTTGACCGTCTGTCTGTATCACAGAGGTACTAAAAACAAGCGTCCCTCTAGCATACGCGGAAGAACCTGCAGATACGTCTGCCGCTGTACTTCGGTGATGGATGCACTGCTCTAATACTTTCACACAGATTCACACACAGCGCGCGTAGACGTGTGCGGCTTAAAACGTTTATTTGTGCTGTAACAAGGAGCTAAAACCGGTGCGAGATGGAGAGCTGCGACTTCCAGAGTCAGCTGCTGTCCGTCATGGAAGTCCTGGCCAAGGCGGCTGTAGCTGAGATAAACCGGCGTGTGGACCAGAGCTGCACGGTGCTCAGGCTGGAGGTGAGCCAGAGCCGGCGGGACATCGACCTGCTGAAGAGCAAGTGTGAGGTGATGGAGGCAGAGCTGAGGAAGAGCCGGATGAGGGCCAGGAGAAAAGGTGGGGACACCTGCCTGAGAGATGCTGAGGAGTCACGTCTTTGTTGTTTATAACTGACAGTTTTGTGTTATCTTCTCTCTTAGTGTTTAACAATCCATCAGCGGGGAGATTCTCTCCTCTGGTCAAAGTAGTTCTCAACAAAGAAACTCAGAGCTCACATTGGGACACACCGGTGGAAGCTCAGGCTCCAGATCAACCCCAGCAGGTAGGGTACGACTATTATACCAGTGCACCATATTATCCCATTCATAGAAGTTCCAGAAGTGAGAGTGAGAGACAGAGCCTTTAACTAGAAGAGCCCAATCCCCTTGTGGAACCAGCTCCCAGTCTGGGTTCAGTTCAATTCAATTCAATTCAGTTTTATTTATACAGCCAAATCACAACAACCGTTGCCTCAAGGGGCTTTATATTATAAGGTAGACCCTACAGTAATATACACAGAGAAAAACCCAACAATCATATGACCCCCTATGAATGGCAACAGTGGGAAGGAAAAACTCAGTTTTTACAGGAAGAACCAGGCTCAGCGAGGAACCAGTTGCTTTAAGGAAGTTTTTTTTAAAAACCTATATCCTTAAGATAGAAACACAGGAAAGTAAATTAGAATATATGTAATAATTATTTTATATTGACTCATAAGTACAAAACTTTATAACTTTGTGATGTTAACCTTATTTAACCTCATTGTAGATGGGCTAGAGCTCTACTAGCACAACTTGCATACAAGCACTTATGCATTTGCTTGACCACGCAGTGCATGTGTCATCTTATTTAAGCACTAACCCTGAGCCTGCTGTTGCAGTGTGCTGAGGCCGTGGAGCTTGCTAATGGGCCTGATCACGTACGGATCAAAGAGGAGTGTGCAGAAGAGGATATGTGGAAAAATGATGCAGAGGACAGACCGAGTGAGTCCACACCTTTAATAGTGAAGAAATAAAACAATGTGATGTTTAAGAGGAACTTTTCATTCAGGCACAAGGAATACTTTACTTTACTCAGTTA